ACTTTGCCTGTTTCATTATTTTTCATCAATTCTTTTACCTGCAATTACACCGATTCTCTCACTCCCTTCTCCCCTCTCTCTATGCAGATTTAAGCTCCGCCCCGTAACCTTTCGGTCTTCAGCTGACGCATCATTATGACCTCATTAAAAATGGACAGACAGCCATTGCCAGAGGGGAAGTTCTCATAATACAGTCAGGCCTTTTAATTGCCTTGCTCCAGAAATTAGCTGCTACATATTGGTGGGTGGGTGCCTCATATTCACTCGTTCCTTCAGTTTACCCTCCACTCGTTCACTCCTCTCCTCCTCACAGTAGGGGGTGAGAAAACATAATATCCCACCTGGACAAGGTGCATGTGTGTGTATGTGCATGATCAGGTGTGTGTTTCAGAGAAACAGCTCAACTCTGAGTTGGTTTATTGACCCTCTGGCCTCTTGTTCTCCCCTCTCTTTCTGTCTCTCTCACACACACACACACACACACACACACACACACACACACACACACACACACACACTTCTTGCTGCCTCACTTGCTCTTCATCTCACCCTCTCTGTCTCCCAGGGCAACAAAGTTAATATGAGGCAGATCTTGCCCTTAGGGGTAAACTACGGCATCCACGCACAGCCCCTACTCCATGTCCTCCACCCCACTCTCTCTGCACTTTTATCACTTTATCTTCACCTTTCTCCCGTGAGCTAGCCCCTGACAACCACAGTTAGCCCTGATGCTAACTGATCTAGCCACTTACCGTTATCATCTATGCAGCTGGTGCAATGATGCTTACACCCAGAAAGTCGACATCCAACACAGTAAGTGTTTGCGTGCAAAGAATTATTAGTCCAGTGTGATAAAATGCGGAACCAGGAATGTCATCTGTTGTACTGGATGTTAGGCTTTACAAAACCATGTGTTATTAGTCCACTGTAAAATGTTGTTCAATGTAAAGACTTTTTTTTTTAAATATCTCTTTTAAGAAGCTCATTAACTCAGTTTCTTTGCTAACAAGACAAAGTTTTGAAGATTTTACATGACTATGTGAAGTTACTAAATGGTAAATTAATTTACTAACTAGATCTTCTTCTAGTCCTCCTCAGGGACAATGGTGACATACTGTAGGTTTGAGTTGTATGCTTGAGGAGATATTTGATATATTCATAGCATGCACTAGTTCTTTTAAAAAGTCAGTAAATAAAATATTGTATACAAATACCTTCAGTGGAATGAAGCAAAGGTGAAGAAATATGTTTAGTCTTTTGTATAGCTGTGCAATAAAAAAAATCCCAAAGAGTGAAAATGTGAAAATATAAGAAAATGGATGTACCAATTTTCCAAATGACCCTTATTCATATGTAGAGCGGGACCCCCTGTATTAAATCCACACCCAGCACAACAAATGGGGTGGCTGTGGTCTGTCATGTTGATGTATATATACGTAGCCCTAGGTGTGTGTGTGTGTGTGTGTACATGATGTATGTGTGTGGAGCAGGGAAGCAGCAGCAACAAAAGGCAGCTTTTTGTTTGCCTGCTGAGGATGGAAACATGCAAACACAAAACTCTAAACTACATCACTTCACTTTACACCCACATACACACACACAGTGCATTCCTTTACATTAAAATGAATAGTTTGATTTTTGGTTATTAAGACCCAATGTGCAACTTCTGCTCTCTCTTTGGGTGGTAAAACCACCTCCCTAACATTTATAATACATCTCTAAAACCTACAGCATATCAACCTCTCCGGGTCTACTTTTCATTCCCTTTCCAAGTTTCTCTGTCACTCACTGCAACACATATAAACACGACATCAACAATAAACAACAATCCCCTGCAAATGGCAGCTTTGGAGTTTAGAGGGGGTGATTTGGTTTCTGTTTCGAGTAGGAGGATTCAGTCTGAGCTGTGCAAACTGTGAGACTGCTGGAGCTGCCAATAATACATGTGCTTACACGTGTGTGTTTGTGTCCACACACTTATATGCTAGACAAAACAGGAGATGAGACACAGGTTTTGCCTACGTCAGATCAACTGGGAGAACAAATGCTACGACAGCAGCTTGTTAGGAGTGTGTGGGTGTGCTTGTGTAGGTGTTTGTGTGTGTGCAAGAGCACACATTTTGCAGTAAAGTGAAATTTGTGTTGCTGTGTTGCTGGAGGCAGTGATGTGGCTCCAAGCAGTGTGCAAGAACCAGGGGGTCTCCGAGGTCTTAGACCCCTGACTGACAGCTTGAACCCCCTGAAAATCTTAAAATAAAACTGCAGGGGGATCTCTGAGAGGTGCCTAGTTATTTTCTATTCATCTACACAATTAGACTTATTTGCATATAACTTTATAAATGATTAATTGTTAACAACACAAAAATGTAATGTAATCACTGCATTTAATAATCATGCACCAAGCAAATGAGGTCCACAGGAGTGTGTATCGCGTTAACAGTGCATCACTCGTTTTTTATCTACACCTACAGCTGCTTTTGTCAAGCCATCATAAAATGCTAAATAAACACAATGCACTGTAGATCTCCATGGTACAACACAGGTATGTCCTTGTGAAGCTTGACTGAGGAAACTAACTGAACCATGAGTGTTTGGAGACAGGGACAAGCTCCAGTGAATCTACAAATTTGTCATGGTGTAAATTTATGCCCTTATCTAAATCAAATATTAGTTTTATTTGTAACATAAGCTTGTTGTGTTACCAACATTGCAAGGGATTTGTTATTTGCTAAACCCATTTTAAGCTGTTAGGGTGTCACGGTGCCGACAGGATGGAGAGTACAGCGAGTGAAGAGGAGTATGGATGGATTAAAGATGTGAAAAGCGACAGAAACAGTACAATAATAGTGAGTGGGAGAACTGAAGGGAGAGAAGACAGGAATGGATGGAGGGAGGGCTGGCAGGCATTGGTAGAAGCACGCTCCCTGACCACTGTAAGGGAGGGGGCGGTGGCCAGGTCTCCCATCAATTACAACCTTGACCCTCCTCTCTACTCTTTACTCTCTCGCACACTTTCGGCTTCACTCCACCCTCCCCCCTGCCTCTCATCCTCCCCTGGTCACTCTCCTCTGCTCCTACAAATCAATCTCTTCTCCTTCCCTTCCTCCCCCTTGTTTTCTCCCACCTGCCCCCACCAACTTTGCCTCTCTCACTCTCTGTTTCCCCTTCATCCCTCACCACTCCTCTCCCTCCTTCATCGTTGGAAGTGCAATGGGAGTAGAAAGGTCAGAGGTGGGCAGACAAGAGGGGGAGTAAGAGGCAGATGCAACAAGGGAGTGGGAAAATGAGAGAGTGTATTTAATCAAAGTGGTGTGGGGGCAGATAATATCTTGTTGTTTTTTTTTACCATTCTTCACCACTCCACGGCATCTGATCCAGATGTATTGGTGCAGGTGGTGTTTGGGTGTGTCCATGTTCATTTCGGTAATTTGATGAGCAAAAGGTTCAAGTGCCCGTGCAAGTAGCAAAAGGGCTGAACTTGATCTCCTCGTTAAAACAGGGGCGTGTTTTGGGTGTAACATGCAATTATTCAATCAGTGTGTGACCTCACATCCCCTTTAAGAAACATGTGAGTTTCAGTGCAGATTACTAGCATACAGGTAGACTGGCCAAGCTGGATGTCGGTAAGATTTTGCACTGAGGAAACAGATCTGCTCATGTGCGAGGTGAAGGTGTGTGAGCAAATCATTTAAGGAATGCCCTCAATCCTCCCCAACCCTCCACAGCTGCCTGAGGTGAACCAGGTGTAATATTTATTAGAAATACATATATTGCTGTGCACAACATCCAATGAACACAATGTCATCTTTTAATTTTTTAAGTTTTGCATGTCCTGCGCAGCACGTCCCAGGGTATAACAAGCACAGTGCATGAGCATTGTGCACGCACCTAGACAGGTACGCATCACAATACGGTTAAAGAGCCCATTAACTAGCAGTGATCATTTGACTGTTGGCCACAGACTTGGTCACTTTGTGTGCCCTCATATTACCAACGCACCCAAAATTGACCTGGACACATCCCATTTTCATCTGGACACACCTGCTGGCATGAAGTTAACAGGTTGTTGCTTGATAAAAAGGCAACGTGATGTGATGTCATGAAAATGGTAATTGTGCAGGTAGGAAATTATCAAGCACAGATGCACTACTCTTGCCTCACACCACGCATTTGATGCAATACAGGGCCCTTAGTGTCAGTGTCACACTTATCTAGTAATTTCTATCTTTATCTCATTTAGTTATAAATTAAACCAAGGATATACTCACAGTCAGGAAGTGTCTTTGTATATGTAAGTGGACTCAAAAACAATTTAATGCAACTTGTGTGTGTGTTGAAGTGAAAGGTGAACATCCACAGGGAAAGGAGAAGAATGTAGATCAGTGCTATGTGCTAGCGAGATAAAAAATAAAGAGTCAGAAAAAATAGAAGCTAAGCTGTAAATGTTTAAAAAGAGAGACTGAAAGGGGTAGGAGAAGTGAAAAGACAACAAATGCAATTAAAAATATAATTTTGCATATAGAAGTACACATGTAGAACTGTATATAGGAGCATTAACAATTTCTTGTAAGTGGCACATGTAGCATTGTTCTATGTTGATATCCATGTTTGAAGTTGGCCCATATCTGTGGCATTGTTATGAAACTGACCATATTTCCCATAAACCCCTTTGCCTGCCCCAAAAAGGATAGCATCCCTGTGTGTACATTTATTAACAGTTTGGCTAGGATTAACAGGTTTGACACGGTTTTAACGTTTATCACAACATGTGCCATGAAGAGAACCTGCAGCCATTTTGAACATGTTGTTCCCTAATACTTTATTTCTGTGCACTGTAAATCAGTCTAGCAGATCACTTGCAAAATTAGAAATTGCCGTACCTAGGTCGGCAGAAGTGCTAATCACATTAGTGCTGGGTTCTATCAAGTGAATAAAAAACATTTTATCGGCTTTAAAATGCTACATGTAGCACAGTTAACAGAGAAACATAAGTAAGAGACCTTTTCCCTTACCCTCCCTCAGCATGCCCACAGTCAGACACTTCATGAAGCGGCAGGCCTGGCACGACTTGCGTCTCCTCTTGGTGATCTCGCACTCGTTGGTGGCTGGACAGCTGTACTCAATGTTGCCTGTGGCATGTAGACATGTTGGAAGAAGACAGAAAGAGAGGTTTCATTTCAGATAAAAACATCAGCCGGCAATTGGTCAGTCAACCTGTGAGACAGCTACACATTGTTTCACATAAAGACATAAAGAGAAAACTTATAGCTGGAGATATACACAGACACACTTTGCTGTTTTTCAACCATGTTTTTATTGAATGCCTAAATCGTACCTATTTCTTCTTGTTCTCTTCACTCCTCACTTTCTGCTCATTTTGCCCACTCAGTAATTTTGTTTCCACTCATTTCAAAGCAAAGAACAGTTATGGATTTGTTAGGACTCTTTGGACAACTGCAGAGTCAAGGTTTTACTTATCTATAGTAGGAGCTGTGTTGAGGTGTGAACCAAAAACCTTCTTTCTCTTGCTCCAGTGCCACCTAACAGCTACAGTGCCCCAGAAACCAATGTATCTCCCACTGAAACAGAGTAAACAGTGATTACTATTGACTGCTGCTGTGGAGAGGATGTTTCCTCATTACTGGGCTGATTAAGGGGGCTAGTTAGCTTGGGAAAAGGGTAAATGCACAAACACTTCTTAATGGGCAACAAGACTCTCATTAATGGGCCTTGATAGTTAAAGTAAAGGCTAAACATGTAAATGCTGGGGCAACCTTTACATTCTAATTGCCACCACTAATGAGACTAGTTAGGTTACACCAAACCTTAACATGTCAATGACAGAGGAGGAGCAGATTTATTCAACAATTAAGGCCGTCATCAGCACTAAGGCTAAATGTGCTACTGACAAAATGAGGAAAAAAAGGGGCGCTCTGTATGTGTGTCTTTATTTCTGCCTTCATGGTATGTGTCTTATTGTGCACTGGGGTGGGCTTAGACCAGACAGGTTCTATGCATAATGTGTAAGTCTGTATGTGTGTGTTGATGTAAGTGAGAGGGATATATGAGAGTCTCAAATCCCCAGCAATCTCCTTTGAGATGTGTGTGTCCACCTGCTGCATGACAATTGACCACTATTGTTCAGACTGTGTAAAATGAATGTTAGTGTGTTTTGCCCCCCCGTGCTATATATCTGACTTTTGACTTTTGCTTCTTCTGAATGTACATCTCCAACTCAGCTTGCCCCTCCTGTTTGCTTTTCTTTCTTGGTAGTTTGACTTTTTTTTACAAGATAGTTTCAACTGGGAGAGGTGACAAAGCGACAAGGTTTCTGGGTCAGATTTGAATGAAGCACACTGCAGCTACATGACATGCTCTCAGCCAAATGACTCCAAAGCCACCCTTTATCAAATATGTATATGAAAATATACAAACATACATATATCTGGCTGTGTATTTAAAATTGTTGAACTACTGAGGATATACTTTTAAGGACTGTAAACAGAGTCCTCACTTAGATCCCCTACCATTTTCACTGCACTTCCGTGCTCCCTTGCACCGCATCACTATCACCATTCCCATCTTCCTGTCTGGCTCTCCTCCACC